GTGACCTGGTTGGTGTGACCTGGTTGGTGTGACCTGGTTGGTGTGACCTGGTTGGTGTGACCTGGTTGGTGTGACCTGGTTGGTGTGACCTGGTTAGCGTTACTTGGTTTGTTTGTTTAACCGTTTTTCATCATTCCTATTTGGTCAGGTGGCTTAAATAATTGTGTAAAGCTATGGAATGCTAAAGCCATTTGTAATCCTGAAGAAGACGAGGATGACCCTCATGGCGAGTAAGTACATTAATCAAACCCTTTCATTACTATAAATTCCAATCCCGATCTCAGAGTGTCGTATAGTATCGTGTGAATAGTCCCTTTCACACTTCCCTGCGCCATCTTGAAAGCTAGATTGAGCAAAAGGGAACTCGAAACTGCAGTATAGAGTAACTTGTTCGTTCTCTTAGGACCGATCTTTGTGAGGTTTTATCTGGTTCTTCCTCACCAAAAACCAACCTATCTAAAAATGGATCAAGAACGTCCATTTTAAAATATGAAGCAAACGATACTTTTACCTTGGGCGTAAAGTTTCCCCATTTCAGACGACGTCATTCTCTAGAGTAACATTTCTTTGTTTAATGGTTTCACACGATAAAACACATGGATACAACTCAAACAAAAAATCTTATTCTCAAACAAAAACAAACAAACAAACAAACAAAAGAATGACACGTGGTCTGAAATAGGAAAACAATAGGCCCAAGGTAAAGAGGTCTGACTGACAATTGAGTTTTAATCGTTTCTTCATCATGGCTATCTGTTTTTCTAGGTTGGATAAATCAGCTGTATATGAGTTAGGGTCGTACCCCACCAAGAACACTCCTATCCATTGCCTACACTTCACCTATAGGAATCTATTGCTAGCAACTGGCCCTTTCAACTCGATCTGAAGACATATATCATTACAACAGTCGTTCTCAATAGCACGCCACGAAGTAGGTTTTGGTTTTGACGTGAATCAATGCGTTTTCATGATATTCCTTTGGCACATGGCCTTGAACTCGTACTATGTCAAGGAGATACTTAGGTTGACGTCCACCAAATTTCATTTTGATGCGAAGGCAAAATGTACGATTCCGCATCAAATCAACTTGGGCGTAATGCTTTGCCCATTTCAGACCACGTATCTTTGTTTGAGTCGTATCCATATTCGTGCACGACCGTTAAACAAAGAAATAATAATCTAGGAAATGACCCGTGGTCTGAAATGTGATATACAGTGGATTAGGTCTATCGAGAAGCACTGTAAAGAAACAGTATAGTTATGTTAAACCTGTTATATATAAGCTTAGGTAGGGATAAATATGTATATATTACTCCAATATTGACAATAAATAATTTAGTTTTACATTGGACAAGTGTATTTTGCATCGTTTAATCATCACTTGCCATCCATCGATTCGCTCGTCCAACACAAAGCATTCAACCGAGGCTGCACTGAAGTATTTTATAGATTATTCAAATCTGTACCCCGCAGCCTCGATTGAATGCTTTGTGTTTTACCAGTGAACCGACGTATGGCAAATGGTGGACTGGGCCCTATTATATATTATTTTGTACACTGTCTTTCTCTGAAAGTAACAAAACCCGTGAAGCCTTCTCGCCGTTATGCGTCCTTCAATGATTATAGCGATGCACGTGTGTGTGTTTTGAGGGGGAGATATAGCAATGCACTGCCCTAACCTTATTCTTGGGCTACCATTCCCGATTATTAGTTACTGAGAGAAAAGCGCCCGAGTGGGATTTGTACCAGCTAACTGGTAAAACACGTGGATGATTGAGCAAAATAGGTAGTGTTTGTCTATAACAGTAACCTATACAGGTGTTACATATTGCTCCCTCACCCATCACGGCAATTCACATGATCTCTTAATCTGACGAAAGGCTAACTTCCGAAATGTCAGTGCGGTTATAACTTCTTTAGACRATGAATAAGGTTGCTTCTTATTTACTTGTTCATCTCATCAAACATTGTACTGGTACGTAATCTTTTGTTACATATCATGCCAGACAAAGATAGAAACTATTATTTCCTTATCCCTCCCCGTGAAACCAGATTATCTCAAGATCTAAGGGAGCTTTCCATTAGGTCGAGCCAACCAGTCCAAACGGCCAGTTCTCAAATGCGTCAGTTGTCATTAGTTTTGAGACCTTGGCTAACCATTTCTTAAGAACTGGCACATACCATTTAAAAAATGGCGGCTCGGACTAGTACGGCTAGGCCTAATGGAAAGCGCCCTAACACTGTACTCAAAAAGACAGCACCGAGTCTGCGCGTAAGTAAAAATGGCGACTGCGTTTTCTAAACGCATCCCACATGGAAAGGAGAAGCCATGCATGATTACCCATCAACGACACACGCGATATACTGGGTCTGCTGGTCATATAGCAAGGGGTTAAGGTGGCTCGACCCCCTCACGCTTGACCGCTACCTTCCACTTTTGGAACGCTAGTGCATAAACGTCTTTTATCCGATTGCAAATCTTTTTTGCACATAAGTCACATAAAGATTGAATTAATATTTGATGCAGTTTTTAGTGAGATCGGACGTCATAACATGCACGTGATTAGGATGACATATTTGTTTTCGTTTAGAAAATAATTTTAGCCTTGCAGAGCGTTCAACACTAAAATGCTTCGTACCACATAATTATATACTAGAT